CATCTATCCATCTATCTATCTATCTATCTATCAATACATCCATCCATCCATCCATCCATCTCTATCTATCTCTCTATCTATCTCTATCTATCTATCTCTCTATCTATCTCTATCTATTTATCTATCTATCTATTTATCTATCATTTCAATTTATATACCGCCCTTCCCTAAATTCACAGAGCTCAGGGTGGTTAACAATAGAAGATATGTAATATAAAATCCAAAAAATAAAACAGTGAAAAGTTAGAGGTAACATCAGGTGTCGCCAAAATAAATACAATGTGCATTACCGTCTAGCAGTAGGTGAAAGAAAGCAGGGTGGGGGAAGGGAAGGGAGTGCCAGATAAGGTGGAGCCCGTTGCTGTCCTCAACCAAAAGCCTAGTTACTTACTTAATATACTTAAAAAGCATTTGTACACACATGCAAATGAACACAATGCTCCTTTTGAATCCCATAGACGTAATATAACCTTTTCTCTCACCCAGTTGCCTGCCCTCCAGGGACCTACTTCCAAAATGACCACTGCGTTCCGTGCCCCTCTGGATCCTATCAAGAGCAACCTGGAAGCCTCTCTTGCGACAGATGTTCTTCGGGGAAAACGACCGTCTCCACCGGAGGTTTTAAAGCTGAGCACTGTAAGGGTCCTGCAGTACCGATTTCCCATTACATATTAGCAGTACGTCAGGTTGCTAGATGGTGAATGAAAATGTCCATGAGTCCAGGGTTGGCCATATTCCTAAGAAAGGATAATGTTAAAAAAATGGACGTGCCTTTCAGCCGTGAGCATTTGAAGATTATTGCCCATTTCCTCAGAGGCTTAGGGAACTGTTAGCGAAGGAAATTGACAGATGGAAAGCTGATGTGAGAATTCTTAAAAGGCCATTCATCAATACGGGTTATGTGTGGGGGTCACAGGGTTACCAACCTCCAGGTGGAATCAGGCATGCTCCTGGGATTGCACCATATTCCCAAATTAGTGGAGGAAAAAGCAACTTTGGCTGCGGTCACACGGAGCATTAGCCACGCTACAGAGACGGAAGATAGGCGGATTTTCCGGGTGCAATCACAGTGCCACATCTGGGAAGCGTGGAGCTCCCGTGGCAAACCCGAGGCTTCCCGCTGAAGATGCGTTGTAAAAAACTAGTACCTCCGAGTTACTGTTTTCCGGAAACCGTGGGGCAAGGGCGGGCGTCTGATTGCGTTTCTGGTAGTAGGTCATGGCATCCGGCACCCGCCCATGTCCCGTGGCAAAAAGGTTTTTTCCCCCAAGTCTCCACGGGATGCGCACAAGCACCCAGCGGCACATGCGCACACTTTGGTTTAAAAAAACCCACAACCCCATTTGCCATGGCAGTGGCGCCTAGCTATTGCTGCTGTGATCGCGCCGCGCCGCTTCTTTGCCGTGCCACAGGATTGTCGTATGATCGGCACCTCCCCCCGAACCACGGGACGTCGGCAGGACATATGATCCGGTGGCCGCGTGGTAGTTCGCTCTGGGGCAAACAGCCATGCCTCCCCCCCACGAAATCTGGCCCATGTGACCGGGGCCTTTGAAGGGCAGACTCCATTGCCAGTGTGCCCTCTAAGCTGAGCTAGTTCACAAGCGAGGAAAATGAGAACGAGGGAAAAGCCCATTGTTTCTTGGGTTACGTCTCCAATAAGCCTTGTAAGGTTCAGTGCCATGTCTACAGGTGATACTATGGGGCACTCATTGTAAATCGGGTGACCGAAATCACGGCTGAAACCAGAATGGAATTTCTTGCCCTTGAGACTCAAGAGCTAAAGAAACGTCTGCCCTAACACTTACTCTGTTCTCCTCCGATAGGTGTCACGGCCTGCCAGATGGACAAACGAGGCTTGCGGTGTGATGAGAGCGGCCAGTATGAGCCTTACTTTGAAGACTCTTCTACCAACAAGTCATTCTGTGTTGATAGCCTTGGAAAGATATTGGAGTGGACCGAAACAGACAGCCGGCTTACAGCCGCCCAGTGCCTAGGTGAGCCCCTGGACAATCTTTCATGCGGGTGTGAAGCCTCAGCACGGTGAGATGCGCCTTTTGAGAGCCAGTTTGGTGTAGTGGTTAGGTGCGCGGACTCTAATCTGGGAGAACCGGGTTTGATTCATTACTCCTTCACTTGCAGCTGCTGGTGTGACCTTGGGTCAGTTACAAGTTCTTTCAGAGCTGTTCTCTCACGAGGAGCAGTTCTCAAAAGAGCTCTCTCAGCCCCACCTACCTCACGGAGTGTTTGTTGTGGGGAGGGGAAGGGAAAGGAGTTTGTAAGCTGCTCTGAGACTCCGAGTGAAGGGCGGGGTATAAATCCAGTCTCCTCCTCCTCCTCCTCCTCCTCTTCTTCTTCTTCTTCTGTTCAGTTACACTTAGGCAGCCGTTAGCCACTCAAAAGGTATTTTACAGGGCAGGGGTCCCCAGCCTTTCTGTACCTGTTGGCAGCTTTGGAATTCTGACAGAGGGCAGTGGGCACAAACCCAAAATGGTGGCCACAGTAGGTGGAGCCAATCACAAAATGGCTGGTGCAGGAGGCGAAGCCAACCCCAAAATGTCAGGTGTCAAGGTTATATCTAACTAACAGTAGCTCTTCAGCAATTGAGGTAGAAGCTCTGTTTAACTGGATACCTTTTAATTTGCACAGCCAATCAGCAGCCCTGATGGACAAAAGTCCCCCCTAGTTCTGCCTACTTTCTAAAAGCACTTGACTTGTGCAAAGAAAATTTTTGGCAGGCACCATGTTGGGGAACGTTGGGGACTCCTGTTGTAGGAGCTTTAACCCACGGTCCATGGACTCTAGCAGAAATCTTTCCAAACCTGGGGACAGAACTAAGTGTTAACAAGGAGACTTTTGAATAACAGCAACCGACTTTAAATCCCTTGCTCATCAGACATAGTTGGGGGGGGGGAAACCTTCTATGGTGCAATGTCACGGTTCTAGTTTTTTAACTCCCTTGCCTGCTCTACATCATTAGCTTGATTTATACCTGGGAGAGGCATTTGGCAGTATTCTGTTGCAGTTACTTTCTGTTTGTAGGTTTATGGACACTATCTATGTATGGAATTACAGAAGAGCCTACTGTTGCTTTTGAATATGTTCTTTGTTTAAACTATATTTAATTGTTATGAGCAATCTGAAGAAAAGGAGATTGGATTTATACCCCGCCCTTCACTACCCAAAGGAGTCTCAGAGCGGCTTACAAACTCCTTTCCCATCCCCTCCCCACAACAGACACCCTGTGAGGTAGGTGGGGCTGAGAGAGCTCTTGACAGAAACTGCTCTTTTTCAAGAACAGCTCTTATCAGAACTACGGCTTGCCCAAGGTCATCCAGCCAGGTGCAAGTAGAGGAGTGGGGAATCAAACCAGGTTCTCCCAGATTAGAGTCAGCGCACTTAACTACTACACCAAATCTGTTGGATCTTTGTCTATATACTCTATTGGGCTGTGACCACTAACCCTTCTTTGTATTTCAATGGCTATAATATATAGTTTTGAACACAGTTGTGAATTGTAGATGGTTTTCCCTTGGTGGGTATTGTTTGTGGCTATGCTTCTACACTAAGGGTTCCCTATTGTCTTTGGGAAGGAGAAGTGGGCAGACGGGGGGCCAGCAGTGTCCACGGTTGTCCCACTAATATGCAGTTCAGGCCTCAGGTCATGGTTGACTCTACAGGGAAAACAAGAGTCAAAAGAGGCAATGACGCAAACGAAGAACATTTTCTCGTACAAGTGAAAAAAAACCTCCCTCTGCATTTTGCAATAATTGCTTATTGTATCACAGATTCCCCGATTCCCCTGTATGTTTCACAATAAATCTTCTTTGCGGGGATCTGCGATACAAGACACAATTATTGCAAAACGGGTAAGGATTTTTTTTACCCAAACAATAAAATATTCGCTTTCTTTTGCACCATCAGCGCTTTTGCCTTTTTTCCCTTCTATGAATGGTACAGCCCCTTCTGTTTTGTCTTGACTCTACAGAGAGACAAAACGAGGTGGTGTCCTCAGGTGGTGGATTTGGGGGGCTGGAAGCCACCTCTGGTGTCACCTCTGACTCACCGGCGCTGTTCCCTATGCTCAGGAACTGGAGCACCTGATGCTCCTTCCCTCCTGCTTCCCCCCAGTGTCTTCAAACCTTAGAAGCTGAGCATGTCCAGTGGGAACCAGCAGGAGACTGGGGGTGGATGGGGAAATAGGGGGCAGCTGGCAGCAACAGCATGATGTCACTTGGGGAAACTGAGAAGTGACACCATGCCTTTTTAGGAATTGTTGGGAACTCTATGTTTTTATGATAGAGTTTCTGGCAATTCCTAGAGAGGCGTGACGTCACTTCCAGATCTCCCCAGAACTGACATCACGCTGTCAGCCCAGTGGCCATTTCCCCCCTCTCATTGCTGCTCCGAGCCATAGTCTTTTACCATAGAGTTTCCGGCAGTTCCTAGAGAGGTGTGATGTTGCTTCTAAGGGTGCGTTCAGATGGACAGCTAATCCCACCATTATGCTGGGTCAAATTTGACCCCGATCTTTTAAATCCATCCTCGCAAGACCAGACATCCCCCGGGGGAATCGCCTTACTGCTTCTGCTGTGGATTGTCTAGCTGGCGTCCACTGAATGAGGCGTGTGCGGTGGCTTTTTTAAAAAAAAACCAAAAGTTTGCGGATGCGCATAGGCATGATATTGCGTCCTTGGTTATTCGCGTATGCGCAGAATCAAGATTTTTATAAAAATGGCACCTGTTCGGGATGGTCTGATGTCAGACCATCCCGAACGGGCACCATTTTTAATTGCGCGCTGGAACGATCAGACGGGGGAAAGCCCGTGAGTGGCCCGCTGGAACCGAAAACTCTAGATTTAAAGTAGTATCTTTTTAGTATGGCTCCTAAGCGTGACAAAACAGGATGCTCACAGAAGATGGACGTTTCCCAGACGTTGATGTCTAGACATTACATTCGAATCCATGAGGCACCCGTGCCTTGCGCGGATCTAAAGAGCCGTCTGAACGCACCCTAAATTCCCCCCAGTTTTCCCGTCTCACCCAACAGCCATTTTTAATTTTTTTTTCTCCCATAGCCACTCTGAGCAGTAGTGGGAAATGGGAGCCGGGGCTGGGTCCCCCCACTGGAGATATGGCAAATCTGCCAGTGAGGTTTCCTGAACCCTCACGAGATGCAAGAAGTCGGTTACCGCCTTTGGACACGTGTGGCTTGCTTGTTGTCCTTGGAGATACTAGGGAATCCACGAACAAAGGAGTGTTCCATGCTCCCGATCCTGGGCGGAAGCAGCCTGCAGGGGGTGGGGGAGTGGTGATGGGGGGTCTTAGGTGGTGCCCATTGTTGAGCCACCACTGCTGCCGGCTTTCAGCGGTTGACGCCAGGGAATTGTTGAACCAGTTGTTTTCCACATGCAGAGTAAATACGCCCTCCCCGCGCCACGTTCCTAGGGCTGGTTCCAAGGCTGTAAAAGACGATAAAAGTCTCAAGTGCTCTATAAACCGGGGTGCCAATTGCTTATAATCCTTCTTTCAGTCAATTGCGTATAATCCTTCTTTCTGGCCGACCGGGAGACATTGAGGCCTTTTCCTTTCCCCCATTCCTGGCACATCCTCACACTCTTCTTCCTGAGCAGAAACGACACGTTGATCAAAAGCACCTGCCCCTGCAGTTCCGACAGCAAAGTGAACATTTGCTTCTGATTAGTGCAGGATGGGTTTTGCCTGGAGAGGACACGTAATTGTTTTAAAGGTTGGTCTTCAGAAGAAGAAGAAGAGAAGAAGAGATTGGATTTATACCCCGCCCTTCACTACCCAAAGGTGTCTCAGAGCGGCTTACAAACTCCTTTCCCTTCCCCTCCCCACAACAGACACCCTGTGAGGTAGGTGGGGCTGAGAGAACTCTTGATAGAAAATGCTCTTTTTCAAGAAAGGCTCTGACAGAACTAGGGCTTGCCCAAGGTCATCCAGCCAGGTGCAAGTGGAGGAGTGGGGAATCAAACCCGGTTCTCCCAGGTTAGAGTCCGCACACTTAACCACTACACCAAACTGGCTCTCTTCAGACTTCCATGGTTTTGTACCGAAGTTTCAAGGGCCAGCATCACTCTCAGATCCTCACAATTGGCCTCGCCATGAAGCTGTGGCGTGTGCTGCACAGGGAGATGATGTGCAGTGATGTCAGATTTCCTATACGAGAGGACTAAGGTCGAATCTGCATTTGCTTTTTAAAATCCGTTTTTGTGCTGCTGTAATGCCGTCTTTCTCTATGCTTGTTTGAATGTGGTTTGGAGAAGATTCTTTTAAAGCACAATGACAGTGGAGCCGCTACGAAAGGGCAATAAACATATGCAACATATGCGGACGTGCAAAAGTATGCTAGCACTGTTGAGGTGTGAAAACAACACCAAATGTAGACAGCTTTTTAAAAGACGGTGTCAGCAGAGTTTTCTGTCAGAACGTGGTATGCTTTGCAGCTTTCCAAATATATTTCCAAGATCTTAACTTTGGCCTTTATCATCTGAAGATAATTGCTATGACAAACTTGCTGAAATTAATCTGGTCAAAGAACGGAGAGCAACATCTGCAGGCAGGGACGCCAGTGCAGAGGAGATGTGTGGTGAACTGGAAGGAAACAGAACATTCCTAGCAGGGAATGTTTTCTTGTCACCTTGGCAAATAAAATCCATGCTGTTGACGGAACAAACAGAAAGCTCTTAGGGCCTGGCAGAACTACAACTCACCAGGAATAACATTACATCTGTAAAAGTTTGTGCCTGCCTGTCATTGCTACCTGATATAATAGTTCTTTACATAGGCAGTGCTTAGAGTTCTGGCAACCAGTCGGCCTGTAGACAGGATTTTTTTCCGTCAGGGGGCATTTAAATTTCTTGAGGGGCACCTAACTGATTTAATTAAAGTTAGTTAAATTAAGTTCCACACCAGTTTTTGCCCAGCTGTGCCAGCAACATCGCATGGGATGTTTGGTGTAGTGGTTAAGTGTGCGGACTCTAATCTGGGAGAACCGGGTTTGATTCCCCACTCCTCCACTTGCACCTGCTGATGTGACCTTGGGTCAGTCACAAGCTCTGGCACAGCTGTTCCTGAAAGAGCAGTTACTGTCAGGGCTCTCTCAGCCCCACCTACCTCACAGGGTGTCTGTTGTGGGGAGGGGGAGGGAAAAGGAGTTTGTAAGCCGCTCTGAGACTCCAAGTGAAGGGCGGGGTATAAATCCAATCTCTTCTTCTTCTTCTTCTTCTTCTTCTGGTTTTTTGGGCAAAAACTCTATGGGGTTTTTTTTTGCTTCAAACCCACCGAGTTTGCCCCAAACCCAGAGCATCGTGCACAACATCGCTGATGTCACTTCTGGGTGCTGTTATCATGTCAGGAGATCGCTTGACGATGTCCCTATTTGGGGGTAGGGTTTCCACCACTGGCCATCCCAAAGGGATGATGTCGTCAAGCAACTTCGTGATGAATTCTGTTGTTTTATCTGAGCGTAGATAAGTAGAAATATTTAAGAACTGCGATTGCTACACGCTCAGATAAAGCAATTATTGTGAAAGAAATTGTTTACATTGCGCAGCATTCGTTGCGTGAGAGCGGTAATAGAAGAGAATTTTCTACAGAATTACTACAGTAAATGATTTTGCAACCATATCTTTATTGACTCTTTGTTATTTTTGTCGCGGGTGCTGTTTTTGGATTTCCACCATCTGGAGGCTGGCAACCTTACCACCTTCTGTTTTCAGTTGTCTTGTAGGATACAGGAACCATTTCTAGGATACTGTTTGGTCTGGCCATATGATTTGGACACTACTAAAAACGATGTGATTTTTTGGCTGCCCAGGGGCGGCATGATTGATAGCATTGTTTCTTTTGGAAAAGAACAGATCTGAAAAGGTTGTGCAAGACCATGCCCTGCTGAGTTGTTTTTTCAAGTGACAGGAGACACATTCTGGCTTTGGGATGTGTTTTTAATTTAAACGCCAGAGGCCCGGTAGGGATATATTCCATCTCATTAAGATAGTACTTGACAATCCCTGTGTGTCAGCAAGCTGCCATTGTATTCTGTGTTACCTGTATGGCTGTACAGTTCATTCCCCCCCCTCTGCCTGCTAGCTTGTATTTTACTCTGCTGTAACGCTTAAGCCAAACATCTGGAGGACGTGGTGTAGGAGGTACGCTTGAATGCTAGCTTGTTGCTTTTCGAGCCTGGGAACTGCACCTGTGTTACGTCTGGAGATAGTAGTGTTCCCAGGGATTGAGCGCGCAACCGTTTCCTTTGCCCGCCAGCGGGAAAGTGATCCATTGGTTCGGTACCTGGTTCAAATCCCTTTATTATGTTTGCCCTGGCTGTTTGTACCCATTCCTAACAAAGGACTTGTTTGAGTATCTTTCCAAAGCTTTGAAATAAATTTTGCTTTTCTGAACTGTGGATTTATTCTCGATGCTTGGGGATCCAACACTGTGGTGGACTTGTGCTAGTGAATGTACAATAGGCTTGCCAAGTCCCCCCGGGGGGCAAGGAAACCCCCCGCCCCAGAGGCCCGTTCCTCGCCGGCGGGGGGGACGGGGCCCCG